GAGGTTGAGGAGTCTATTGGAAACTAGGAAAATTGGGTTTATATACCTGTGGAATGTCCAGTGTGGGAGAAAGAACTCTTGTCTGTTGAAGCTAGATGTAAACGTTTCAATTGGCCCACCTTGATTAGCATTTGATGGCCTGACATGTCTACAGGATCAAGAAATCTACCTAGCCAGAGCTCTTGATGACAAAAAAGAGTTCTATAATAATATCAAACCAAATTCATTTACAAACTATCTGCAGACTGATTGATATGCATCATTCCATGAAAGAGCCTAATAAGCAAGCAAGTCAGAAGTTGTGTACACATTCTCTGACCATGTTTTAATCATTGTATGTACAAGCTAATTCCTTACACATATTTTCTACTATTAAAATGATTTATAAACCAATGGGCATTTTGTGAAACCCTACAATATATGATATGGACTAATTGTGGGCAAGATGTTACCTTAAGTTTGATTACAGCATTGAATTCTGCATTTCAAACATATTCAATATGGTCTTATCACATTTTTCTCTCTTCCTTCAAAATTCAATACCAACTGGTATCCTTGTCTGCAGTAAAATAGTGTTAACTTTTTACCTATTGTAACTGGATGGCAATAGCATTCTGCACAGCTGGAATTCTGTAACAATGGGAACTACTTTAAAATTTCTTTTTTATCATAGAAATACAATACAATGAAAGTACGAAACTAATTCTTAACATAACTGATAAGATACAATTGTTGTAGAAAGAATACATCCTTTTGAAATATATGTCTCATTTTTTTAATTGAAGTGCAAGCCACTAGGTGAATTGACTTTGTTATTTTGGTAATGTCTATAATACTACTATAAATAAAGGCAGTCCCAATTTCTATGTGCATGAAGTTGTTTTATATAGATATTATCCACAGCACCATTTGTGTATTGACAGTATACACAAAATAAATGACAATGAATTATGCTCAATTTTTAATATTTAGCCTCTTTTACTTATGCAAGAAAGCAATGAAATCCTGAGCGGCTGATCAAGTAAGGATGTTATTAAGTTAAATATGTAAATGCAGCATAAGAAATTAATTAAAGCCAGAATGTATTTATTTACATTATAATATTTATACACATGTAAGAATATATTATTTATGTACAACTTCAGAGAAAACCATGTTGTATTTCTCTACTTGAAGTCAAGATAAAAATGTTCTTCACAGTATCAATACTGGGATAACCAATGAAGAGCAGATAACGAGAAACAAAAGTGGATGAAACCAACTATTTTGAATGTTTAATTTTGTGCTTTCATGTAGCATAAAGAGAACTGGATCTTTTAAACTGAAATGCCAAATCATGAGGAATGATTAGAATGTGTAGAATTAATCTAACCTAGCCAGTCATGGCGCCTCTGGCATCATTTGGAAGAGCCCTTAGTTTTCCTAAGGAATTTTCCCTGTAGCAGGAGACAATCATTACACTTATACTGCTACATTTAAGATCTCTTGACACAAAGAGTTACATTTTTTCTACAGCATATTCTATAGTATAACCTTTGGACTGATACAAGACTGATTAACTAATAGGCTGCTATAGGCATTGTGTTTGATCCTCTTGAATGAAGTCATGGCCTTAGGCACAATGACTGCCAGGGTATCAGTGAGGGAGAAGGCAGACCTTACAACCTTGTCAGATTACTTCCCCTGGCCAAAAACTGTTCAAATGCACAGTTCTGATTTTAGTGTTTTATGTATATTTATAGTTTATTTTATGTTCCGGCATTGAATCTTTGCTGTTGTTGTGCTCCGCCCTGTGTCCCCTTTGGGGTGAGAAGGGCGGAATATAAATGCTTTAAATAATTAATAAATAACTATGCATTGGTTAGGCGTGTCTGCCATCTAGTGACCAAGAAGATGCTACAGTTGAAAACATGCCTGCATTTTTAATGATTTTTTAAAAATATGTGTAGTTCTAAAAAGGAAATACAGTGGCTCTCAGATGATCTCCCCTAAGAGATCGTTTCGAAATCATTTCAAAATTGTTTCGTTATTATTTCTGTATGTCTGGTGCAAGTTTTATAGTTGTTGTTTGTTTTATCATAACACACCAACAGTCAACAACAGAGGGAGAGGGAAGCTTCAGAAGTTCCCCCTGTCCCATTTGGAGGTTTTTTTAGTGTATTGCGCAATCGCGTCCGCCATTAACGAATCAATTCGAAATTTACGAAATTTCGTAAATAACGAAATTTAAAGAAAAATTCGGAATTTTTTTAAAAAACGAAACGCAATGGACCCCCTAAAAACGAAACGAGTTTAGAAACAAATTTTTCCGTTGTTACCCCGGCCAAATATATATATATAAATTGCACAGCGTTTTGATGTTTTATCAAAAATCATCAAAGCTTTACAGCCATAACTTTGCAGTTCTTCTACAACAATCCAATTGGCTCTTGGTACCTGCCTAGATTAGTTCCATGATCTGCCATGGATATCAAAATGCCCAGATTCTCAAGTTCCATTATTTAAAATGCTGCCCCTTATATAAATTGGCAGAATAAGTCTTGCTTTTTTTTTTATTCTGTGGAACATTTGTCAAGCTGCAAATTATTGAATCCTTGAATACAAAATCCATAGATACAGAGGGCCATCTCTCCATCAGTTGCGTGGACATTCCCTACTTGTAAATGTAGTAAACATTCTCCTCCTCGTGATGCAATCATAAGGAACAGAGTATAGGGTGACCCTGCAATAATCATGTCCTTTTGTATGTAATCTGAAATTAATAAAAGTTGTTTTCAATCCTGCCAAGAAGCAAGATTGATGTTTCAAGTTGTAGGGTAGCGATGACATGTGTTCCTTAAGCATCATTTAACATTTCGATAGGAGATGACATAGCTACCCTAGCTTAAACATTAATCTTGTTAGCAGGACTCAAGAATATTCTCCAGTGGTTGTCAACTTGTGGGTCCTACAACTCCCAGAAATCCCAGCCAGTTTACCAGCTGTCAGGATTTCTGGGAGTTGAAGGACAAAACATCTGGGGATCCACAAGTTGAAAACCACTATTCTAGACAAAGCTGCTACAGGAAGGGTGACCTGGACTGAAGAATCAGCGTGGGAAAGGCATACTCCACCCAACATTTCTATACTGCATATTGCTCTCCCAAAGTCACTTTTCCTTCCATATCTGGGAAAACACCAAGATGTTTGGCTCATGCCTGATCATCTGCTGCTCTGGCTGGTGATATTAGAAGTTGTAGTCCAAGGCATCCAGTTAAAAATAAGTTGAATAAAAAACATCATGCATTGGATGTATCCAAACTATGAATGAGGAGAAGGAAGAAGTTGTCTCCTTCACTTTAGAACAAACCACACATCCTATTCTTTAACTTTGAGGGGGGAAATAATTTCCAAAATTTTCAAAATAAACTACAGTCACCTGAGTTCATACACAACACAAAAACTACAGTTGATTCTAAAATGAAACCTTCTCCCCTATATGTGAGGAAGCAAGAGGGATCAAGTAAGGCCAACGCTTTTTTGTGTCTTTCTTGCGATGGAGCAAAGGATATGGAGAGCAAGGCGACTCTCGTGATTTATTCATTTTATTATTTATTAAAATACCTCTAAGCCACCCTTTAGCATAAGATCTTGAGGTGCTGTACAATATAAACAATTTAAAATGTTTTCAGATGAAGAATAAATAAATAATATAAACAACACAAAAAAACAAGAGTAAACACAGCAAGAGTTAAAAGCACTTTATAGCAAACTGCTGTAATCTGATTTGACAGGCGAGAGGCTCTCATTTGCAAAGGCAATCTGCATTTGTTCTATTGTAGCATTTAGTCAAATATATACATGCTGGGACAGTTATGAGTTTTAACCTGAAGTATCATGCCACAATATCTATGCTGACCAAGAAAATTCCATATTTCATAAATATATGGTAAGAATTACAACCTGCTTTCCTCTTTGTTTCCCTTTTCCCTTTATAACTTTTCTATCCTAAAATATACAACTAAATTCATTTTGAGGAATGGAGTAAATAAGAGAACAAGCAATATAAATTTGAGATTTCTGAAGAATACTGCAGGTTGAATATCACTTATCCAAAATACTTCAGAAGAGAAATATTTTGCATTTTCAGATTTTGAAATATTTGTGCTTATATTTTATACCGAGAGAGAGAGAGAGAGAGAGAGAGAGAGAGAGGGATCATTAGATATTTTGGAAATCCATTTATGTTTCATACACACCTCATGCATCCTGAAGGTATTTTATAATAGTTCTGTGCATGAAACAAAGTATGTTTGCACTGAACCAGCCAAAGGGAAAGGTGTCAATATCACTGACATGCACTTGACCATTTTCAGATTTTGGAGAATTTTGGATTTGGAAATTCCAGATAAGGAACAATGAACCAGTAATGTATGTAGTTGTCCACAAGACTCAGAAGTAGAAGTCCTATTTGATCAGAGTAGAAGTTCACCTAAAGTTTCAGACCAATTTCTTTTTTATTTTATGGATATCTATCCATATTTTCCAGATTAAATACGAAGTGCTATTAAACTTCAGGCCACCTTCCCAGATTTTCATCTTCATGATACAACAGACTAAGACAGCTACTACTCTGCAAAATGCTAAAAGGGCAGATTCTGTATCTGTTTAAATGCATTCAGGACACTGCACATTTAACATAGCTATACTCCAACAACACCAAGTTCTCCGGATACTACTATATATAAAACAAATTCATCGGAATTAAAGTAATCATGTATACATTTTCAAAGGACAGTATTTATATGCATTGTATTGTACATAATTATACAACTATGTTGCTATTAATTATAAGGCCTGTGTTATGGGAAAGAAGGAAGGCATCATATACAATTTTCTGTATACTTTACAATAGTTTACCCAGAATGTAGTTCAAGAAAAATTATTTAGCTTTTAATGATCCAAAAAAGCTACACAGTATAGATTAAGATATCTGCCCTTCAGTTTCAAGTCATCCCCACCTTGGTAAAACGAGCATTTATCCATTTTGTGAAGGTCTTCTTTTGTACATCCTTGTGTTCATCTACGAAAGAAGAAAAATAAATAAGTTTAACAGTATTTCTTTCACATATTTAATGTCACTCTAATAAAATTATGTCTGCAAAAAAAAACCCTATCAACTTTATTTGGGATGGAGAGAATAAAAAAAAATTGCTTCTGCGGAAAGTGGAGTCTCTCTCACTTCTCAAACCACTCTGAATATTTTTCTTCAAAGTACATAAAGGGACACTTTTGCAGATACAAGTAGCCTATTTTCCTTTTCAGAGATTAGTCTTTGCATTCACAAAAGTGACCTGGTAAAGTCACCTCTCCTGAAGCCAATTCCGGAGACTTATCATTTCTCCAATTTCAGTCTATGAACTAATTTAAAACAAGAGTGTTTGAGTGACACATGCCACTGTTCATTTAGCTCTTAGCGAGAAGAGATATAGTTTCTACAATCACATATACATTTTTATTTCTAACCGCAGTTGCTACCACCAACAGTTACAGACATCTAACGGAATGTTTAAAAATATATCAAAATACAAGGTTATAAATGTATCCTAGTTAGTGGTAATATTTATAGCAGACTACTACACTTCCATTTGCTGCATCATAAAATGGTATGTTTTTCCCATTGGAAGGACATGAAAATGGCAGCTGTAAAAGTGATGAATATAACCAGAGTACCCACTTTATAAGGAAAGGCTTGAGATTCTTATTTTATTTTTGAAAATGCAGGAGGACACTATGAACCTTTATCAAGTTACAAGCATTTCTTATGTTTGCATTCTTTTTGCATGGGTCAATATCCAGAAAAGCCACAGTGGTTTCTCTTTCTACGTGCTGCTTACATTCTCCTTCACCTTGAAATGATCCAGAGGGAAAGGTGTTGTAAACTTTAAATATTTAAATGTTATACACCTCCTTTTTAAAATTCTGCTTGAAACAGCTTTTGCCAAAGCTTGGGACTATACAATGCAGAAATCTGCAGATGTTGCTGTCTGGGGGGATCCTTTGTTGGGAGGTGTTAGCTGGCCCTGATGGATTCTTGTCTGGAATTCCCCTGTTTTTGAGTGTTGTTCTTTATTTACTATCCTGATTTTAGAGTTTTTAATACTGGTAGCCAGATTTTGTTCATTTTCATTGTTTCCTCCTTTCTATTGAAATTGTCCACATGCTTGTGGATTTCAATGGCTTCTCTGTGTAGTCTGACATGGTGGTTGTTAGAGTGGTCCAGCATTTCTGCGTTCTCAAATAATATGCTGTGTCCAAGTTGGTTCATCAGGTGCTCTGTTATGGCTGACTTCTCTGGTTGAATTATTTGAGAACACAGAAATGTTGGATCACTCTAACAACTACCATGTCAGACTACATGAGAATATGCTTCTGGAACATGGCCAGCTGGGGAAACTGTTATAGAGGAGGTATGGAGGGAGCCTTTTAAAGCTACCACCCAAATATTAGTTAGCCAAGACACTGAATTTTAATATTTTGTCAACCAAATCAACACATATTTCCACTTGACTATAAATTGAGGAGAAAAGTAGAATAGCTTGCTCTCATAGTCACTTACACAACATTGTGGGCTGTAATGGAGAGAAAAGGTTTCACCTTGAGAGAAAGAAAGCTAGAACATATCTTCAAAAAGGATGTTCACCTGCTAGTCGATACTGAAAATAATTTCATTTTACATAAATTGTATTACCTTTGCAACTTTGGGGGGGGGCAGCACAAAATTGTACAGATAAAATCAAATCAGTGCAACCTAGTACAGTGTCTCTCTTTTGAAATGGGGTTAAATTTCTTTTTCCCCTGAGATTAATACTTTCCCCTCCTTAAAGTGTATAGCCATCTTTAGTTTCCTCTCTAATGAAAAAAGCATTAAGAGGATTTGGCAGGCTGGAATTTCTATTCTTCTTCAATATAATATATTCATATTGAATATACTACAAGAGAATATACTAAAAGAGAATTTGTGACAGAATAACATTTCTTGTTGGCTGACATCCTGGAATGCTTTGAATGTTTAAACTGCTTTTGACATCGAACAATTACGTAAGTCACAAAAGAGCAATATTCTTTTTAACTAGTTCTCACATTTGCCCTATCCTTTAATTTCTGAAAATTATATACTTTTTTACACAAAGGAATTCAGACATAAAAGGAGAAAATAGCCTCTGGCTTTTCAAGCGATCAAGAATGCAGTAGAATTACAAACTTGCATTTGCTTGCCTTGGAGTCAATGCTACTACAAATGTATCCTTCAAATTCCTCCACAAGGCTTCGAAGTCAAATAATTAGAACTTAATAAACAACCATTATTTACTGAAATATGTCAAAATAAACTTTCCTTGCTATTTAAAAATATTATAAAAGAGAAGTCATTAAACTGAGATCAAATTTTAAAATGCAAAGATAAAAATAAAGCAGAGTAAAATAAATAAGGAAATAAAAATACAGAACTTTTTCCATTACAGCAAAGAGTAGCAGGAACAGGTCACTTTTAAAACATGTGAATAAGTAAAAAGGATTGATTTCTCTTTGGAAATAACTTTCTGTGCTTTAGTCAGATCACAGTTTCCATCAGCTCCAGTCAAGGATAAGGAGAGTAGAGCAGCTGGGGTGGTACTGAGGCATGAAACAGTCAGTAAAAGCTCCATGTAAATGAGCACATAAAGGAGAAGATAAGCTGAACAAGGGAATATGGGGCACCCTCTTCACCCAAAATGCACAGAATGCCAATGCAGAAGGACCCCAATAGGCTTATAAGAAAGCCTATTGGGGCATGTAACTTTTGTGACTTCAAAGCATGATTTACAAAGCTCTGATGTATACCAGATTCAACATTAAAACAACCATAAATCTCAATCAATCAACTACACACAACTATTCATGCACATTGTTTAAATCCAAATTGTAAAATAAATTCCCTAACCCATGAAAGGAATGGAAGATGTGCTGGAATGAATTTTTTAAATCCATGCACACACTCTTCATGCACATTGTTTAAATCCAAATTGTAAAAGAAATTCCCTAACCCTAACCTTAACCCATGAAAGGCATGGAAGAGGTGCTGGAATGAAAATGGACACCATGGGGTTTTTTTTTTCACTCTCCAGTCTTTGTTTTTCTATGTAGGTTCTTCGCCATTGAAAACAAGCGCTACCGTCTGGATTGCCCAAGAACTCCAATATTCTGCCACAAGCTACCCAAGAATCCCACGCTAATAGAGGCAAATAATTAAGAAACAGAATACTACTGAGTTGCTGGAAATATATGAGAAATAAGGTATCCCGAAAAGAAAATAAATAACGAGTGTAAGATACCTATGGCCAGGAGATTCCTTCATAATGACCCTCTGATTTTTAAGCTACCACTACAACATTGATGGTAATTTTATATATACATGAGCCCTTTCAAAAAATTTCTCAAATCCATGCACACACTCTCTATGCACATTGTTTAAATCCAAATTGTAAAAGAAATTCCATAGTGAGAACTACCTCATGAACACAAACTTTACAACGTATTCCTAATGTTATTGGCATATCTGCCCTTGTTATTTTTGAAATAGATAAGACTAATAGATAGATAGCAGTTGAAGTGTTCACTGTACCAATCTTCGATAATGGTACTATTACATGGAAGCATCTTAGGAAAGGAAATTGCTTTAAAGTCAAGTTGTTCTACCACACTTGAACTACTGAGTATACAAAACCATTATTAATATCTCACTGCCAACAAGAGGTTGGAAAGGAACATCTCATAACAAGCCTCTCTATTAATAATATCCTGTCCTATAATGAAGTGGCATTTTACCTCTTTGACATTTAAAAATGATAGCAATAGATCATAGCAAGCTTCTATATTCTAATTAAGCTTCTGTTAACCTCAATCGATTAGTTGTCTGCTGAGCCAATTAACTCCTGAACAGAATTCTCTGTAGGATGTACCAACATGGGACAGGAGCAATACATTCTATTCTACCAATTGAACATATGGAACTAATGGACTGGGTCCTGAAGCGAACATCAACACAAAACTTTTTTCTACCCACTGCTCCAGTCCTGCTCTTGCAACTGCATTTCCTATTGCTACTTAAGGCATTGCCGTAAAGCATGATAGTGATTAACGACATTCTTTATATTAAAAATAAATACATCTTACATACATATTGGTACATAATTATATAGAGGTGATTAAGAAAAATATCAATTAAACTTTTCCCAAATTTGTCCTATATTCCAAAAGGAGGAGTTTACTTAATAAGGACCAATTTAACTTAACAGGACATATGTCTGAGCATAGCAAAGACCTCAACTGGAATCACCATGAATCAACATTGAAGAATGACAGATCTCAGGATAATAGTAACTTTTTCTCCTTTTTTCCCATACAAATTGCAAAGTAAGGCTCAGCTCAGCTTTCAGTAAATGGACTAAACTTTCCTACCCAAATTTACCCAGGAAAGGGGTCAATTTACACTCAGTTTTTTTTTTATGTCAGGAGCAACTTGAAAAACTGCTAGTCCCTTCAGGTGTGAGAGAATTGGCCGTCTGCAAGGATGTTGCTCTGGGGACACCCTAATGTTTGATGTTTTACCATCCTTGTGGGAGACTTCTCTCATGTCCCTGCATGGGGAGCTGGAGCTGACAGAGGGAGCTCAACTCGCTCTTCCCAGATTCAAACCACTGAAATATCGGTCAGCAGTCCTGCCAGCACAAGGATTTAATGCATTGCGCCACCAGGGGATCAGTGAGTCTGTGATACGTCACACTTGAGCTGAAACATTAAAGACAGACATAAGCTCATGTCTTATAAAACAATGGAAATGTAATTCTTGATTTTTTTTTACTTTTGCAGAATTTTTCTTAAAGAAGTATATAATTCAAGTCAGTTAATTCTCCAAAAAGGCAACAGGAAGAGTGCTTAGAATCTCAATTAAAAAATCAGGCCAAACTGTGTATACGACAATATTACAAAAATGGCTTGGACCTGGCAAAGTACATATAGCTGCATAGACTCTTTGAAGAAAAG